GAATTCCTAATGCTTCAGCAGGACTCATGAAATCCAATGAATAATTCACAGGAGCCATCTGAACATCTCCAGGAGGGGAGATCCAGGAGCCCCTCCCCAGGCACTGCTGTCTCAGAAACGGCTGCTATCCATGTCTCCCTCCTGAGACTGTCAGCCCACTGGGGACAGAGCTGGAACATCCTTCAGTGCCCACAAAATGTCAGGCACACAGTAGGTGCTCAGGAAATTCTGGTTTGCTCGAGCAAACTGTGAGTGAGGGCACAAATCCCAGGATTTGTCCTGCATGAATATTTGGTAAGAGTTTACCTTTGAAGGAATAAGGGGACAGGAAGGAATTGCTGAGCAAATATAAATAAGATTATAAGTTGATGCTTATATTCACTTGTCAGCATATGTTCAGAAGACTAAGCTCTGCTTATGGCATCTAAGGCCACTTCTGTATGCGGTGCACAGAGATTTCTTGATATATTACTGTAAGTCAGTCATTTACTGATTGAAGAGAGATTTTAACAACTCTTTGGTCCATTCATTTCTCTACTTACTACAGTTTTTTTTTGGGGGGGTCTTTTTGAGACAGCATCTCACTGTGCAGTTCAGGCTGAATTTGAGCTCACTTTGTAGCCCAGGTTTGTCTTGAATTTGGAATGATCCTCCCGCTTCAGCCTCCTGACTGCTGGTATTACAGGTATTACAGGTGTGCCACCATGCCCGGCTCATTACTACATTTTTATTGCAGTTGTAAGGTGTAAATTTCATTTATGAAGGGCTATCATGTTGTGAACTTGGAAAGTGGAAGGGTAGACAGATGTATCCTTAGCGGACGGGTCATCCGTTTCCCTGTGTGTGGGCATTGCTGTGCAGTGGCTGCCTGGCCATCTACTGTGAGAATTCTGCATCTTCCTCCTTAACCCTCCTGGCTGCTGAGGAGTGGGAGGCTCCTGTGACAGCTGGGCTGTGTCCTGTGTTCCATACACCAACAACTGCCCTGTTGCTTTCTAAGGGAAGGAGCAGGCCAGACACGAAGCAGGCCTGGAGAGCGTGTTTGCCTTATTTAATCAAGTCTGAACCGTAAATGTTCCCCAGGCAGATGCCCCTCTTTGGTGTGAACTGCTTGAGTGGGGATTTTTTGTATCCGCGGGCACTTCTCTGTACCTTGGCCCTGGGTAAGTGGCTCACCTGTCGAACCCCTGGAATGCCAATGGAGGACCCCTGTATTTCAAGGTGGGGTGTTAATTTATTCCTGTGCAGTTTTACAGTCATGGTGCACACTTCCTTTCCTCTGAACCTTTTGGACTTAATTTAAGTGGTGCCAACCAGGGTTCCGGAGCACACCACACCTGATGCCTCCTCCTCTTGTGCTCTTTCCCTTACCAGGTGAAGTGTCCTTACTGCTGCCTGTCACCATGTGGGGCGGGTGGGGGAAGAACCCAGGCTTTCCACTGAGTTCATAACCAACAAATGCTTATCATGAGGACTGGAGCTGGCGCTGAAGCATCTACCTTCTGAGCTCCTCTTTCAAGGACTTGAACTGTAAAAGCAAGGTCTCCAAAGTCCTCGTCATTTCCCAACTCCCCTTGCAGCTGCTTTGCAGCCTGGAGGTGTAGCCATGATTTCTGCGATTTCCCTGGCTGCGGGTATTGGTTTAGGGTATTGAGTTACACCTGGGCGCTGGCTGGGGAGGGAGGTGTCAGCTGACAGCTGTTTTATGGTAATCTCGGCTGGCTTATTTGCAATGTGTTTATTTCTCTCCCGCTCACTGGGATCCACAGTGATGTTGGCGAGTCAGTGATCTGACAGTCTGCGTCAACCTTTTCTTCCTTTCTGGTACCTGCACTTATCTGGCTGTCGCAGATTGCCTTAAGAACTCCCAGCTTGAGTTCTGCATTTTCTTGACTGAGATCAGCTCTTCCTTGACAAGTCCCGGAGTCCAGATAAGGGCGCTGCTTGTAAGTGGCTCTGAATTCTGAGTTCTGTGGGTGTCAGAGGGCACACTAGTGGATGTCACTTAAAACCTGCAACCACTGTCATCCTCTTGTGTCCCCATCATCCAGACCCCATTTTCCAGGTTTGTGTAAGCCTGCAGGTTCCCTAACGAGTTAAGCATGGCTCCTGCAGACCCTGCTACCGCTGTAAGTCTTTTAAGGATGAACATAAGCCCAGTTTAGGGTCTTACACAGCAAAGGAAGGAAACAGGCAGAAAACGTTCCCCCTGGACAAGGTGGGTTAGAGTCTTGGTTCTATCAATGAGTACCTCAAGTGTTTTTTAAATTGTTATCCTGCTTTATTATCTTCTGAAGAACTTTATTAAAATACACTCTAGTTTATCTTAGACAAAAAATATTCTGTTTCATGATTCAGTTTAGCCCGTTAGCACTGTCCTGAGAAAGGCCTGCTTGCAAGGCGAGCCCGGGGATGGTGGCTGGGAACATGACTGGTAAACAGTCCCCTACACGAATGCGAATGGTGTCGGCTCACTTATAAGGCTGCGGCTCACGGTACTGAAACTGCTGTACCCGTGATGCCCGGCAGCTTACAGCTGCTTTCTTTCTGGGGGCCTAGAGTTTTGAGAGGCTCCCAGCAGAGAGCGCTCTGCAGACCAGCGCAAGTGAAAAAACCAAGCATGCACTCTGGGTCACTCAAGAATTTTCGAGGTCTTTAGTGCAGCTCTGTGCTCAGGGCACAGTGCACACTGGGTGAGGCTCCTCTTTGGAGAGAAAAAACATAAAGAAGCCCAAATGTGGATGCCTTTTGACTCTTCCTCTTCGGGCCCCATTGTGAGCTATCATCCAGAGCGGTAATAAATCTCAGCAATGATACAACTCTACTCTGTGAGCTGGGAGTGCTCCTAGCAAATCTCTGAATGTTAGAGTGGTCTTGGAGAAGCCCAACCTCCGCACTAGTTGTAGGAAATTCCAGATGTAGTGTTGGATGGCACTATCCCCCAAAATGCTGGCTGCACCCTGAATCTCCTTGGGTTCTCCGGGCATCTGTCAGTTTAGCTTTTCCAGATGCAGGATGTGTATCGGGTTGATGACTATTCTTCTACTTTCCTAAAGAACAGTGCTCTCCTCTGCTCAGATTTTCATTTTGTGGCACCATTTTCAAGCTTATTTTATAGTGAATTCCATGCCCATCTACTATCAAAAGTCTCTGGTGAGCTGTAACCTTTCTGGTAGGAAAGTCTGACTGAAAACTTAGAAGAAAATCCATAAAGCAGCGGTGGCTAAGAATATTGACAACTGGACCTCGAAAGTGTGTCCCCATATTTAAAAACATTCTCTGAGTTGGCTGACTTGAGAGCCAACTTGGCCAGATCTTTCGAATGATGTTCATGAGATAACATTGGTGTGATCTTGACTTTTTGTTTTGCTCTAAACCTGTTTTTATTTTTATTTTTTAATTTAAGGTGACTCGGCCTGCAGTGTGAACCGTGCCACAGTGGGTCAGTAATGATCTCTGAATGCTCACTGTACCCAAGCAGCTGACAATACAGGCCAAGCAGCAATTCTATGAAAGCGTGAATGGAAGGGCACCTGACTCAGGTTTGCTTTTTGAAGATTAACTTCTTAGAACAGTAAAACTCCATCAAAATCACTTGGCATAACCAGTAGGTCTTGCTGTAAATTACACATTTACTGGGAGGTACTTTTAAATAAGTGACAGACTTTCACGGGTCACTTTGATATTAGGGTATCAATTAAGGCTCTAGGGTGTAAAAAGTTATTCTGTTCCAAGAGTTCAGATTTTTTTTTAATACCAGGAATCAAACTCAGGACCTTGTGCTTGCCAGGCAGAGGCTGTGCCTCTGAGCTACGACCCTGGCCCAAGTTCAGATTCCTTACAAAGGGATAAATGTTGGTGCCATTTAGCAGAATCAGGCTTGTATTTATCACTAATATCAATGTTTAAAATATTTCACTAGATACAAGCATTGAGGGGGGAACTCGGGATACAATATTTCCGTGGGCATAGAGCGAGCACTATAGAAGCTTCTCATGTTTTCTGACTCGATGTGAGAGACTGCTGGCTCTTTTTGTTCAAGACACTGGAACCAAAATGTTTTTAACGGCCTTTGAATTCAGATATTTTAATTAAACTCATGAGACTCATCTACCCTGCTAAGTCAGTAGGTAACACCTGCAAAAAGCATACACTGAAAGAGAAAAGTGCTCTGACATTTTGGGGGGTTGGGGGCTGGACACTGAAGACAGGTCACTTTTTCTAGATCCCCTGAGCCCATTACTCAGAGCTGCAGTCAGCTCTTTCCCAGAGGACACTGCTATCTGTTGCTCTGTCTTTACTGATGTCTGTCTCTCTTTCCAAGATGGTGTTTAAAGGCCAGCTCAAGCTTTTCACGTAAGGAGCTCTCAGCCCATTCTGATCCACCACTTATGCTGCTGGTGGAGCCCATCATGGGCTGCAGGGAATAGAGAACTTCAAGCATTTCTGAAGGCAAATCTAGGAGTTAACGTGCAGTCTAAAGCCTTCCTCCACAGCACACACAAACAATACGGGAATGAATTTTTGGAATAAATGCCTAAATGCCAAGAAATGACCTGAAGTTAACAGTTTAAACCTCACATCCTGAAGATTCCTCCCTGCTTGTCGCCTGGCCCCTCAGTACACCCTGTGGGACAGTCCCATGCATGAGCAATTGTAAGCAATAATTGATAAATTACTGTAGACTCAAATGAACAGGACTATCCGCCAAATCGCGAATGTTTTCATAGATTAGGGGCGCCGGGTCTCCCCACACACTCAGAGATGCCCTGAAGGTCACACGTTGGATGTTTTCAACGTTCCCTAATCTAGTGCGCCAAAAACAAAGCGCTCACACACGTGTACATCCTGGGCTTACATATGCATAGGTACATCTGTATCTACTGATACCTAAATATACATTTACATAGAAAGACAACTGATGTAATTTATAAGTAAGCTCAGGCATTTTACAGTACACGGAAGCAACACACGAGAGAGAATCGAAACGCGAAACGCACCATACTCGGGGACCTGTCCGGTGCCTCTCTTGAGCAGCAGCCGCACTCTCCTTCCTCCGGATTTGATGAGCTCTATTGCTCTGGCGTGGGTCATGTCTCTTGTGCTTTCCCCATTGATTTCAATGATCTGATCTCCTACCTGTTAATGAAAGAAAAAGGAAGTCAGCCAAAGAGGGTTTTTCACTCAAGTTACATTTCCGACAGAACTCAAAAGCAGAAGGGACCCTAGCAAGCCCGAGTTTCCTAAGACGTCTGAGCAGGCTGGCTGCAGTGTGCTGCTGCTTAGATGCAGCCCGGATCTGACCGCTCCCCCACATTCGATCTGCCTTCATTACACCACGCTCCTGGCCATGGGAGGTTTACACTTAGCCGGAAGCTACTTAGCATTTCAAAACAATTAGAAGTCTCATTCCACAGTTCACAACAAGCTGGCACCTTTGCTTTAAATCAAGAAGGAAATATTTCAGAACTTTTCACTGACTGCAGCCCCACCTTTGGCTTAGTGCACTAATTCAGCCTGCTGGAAGGAGGGGCTGGCTTTTGTGCATCGCTCAGAAATGTTGGTAAGCATCTTTTAAGTTTCCCTGGGCGTGACTGCAGTATTGCTTTCATTGTAGACAGTGGTTGGTTGACATTGAAGTTTGGTGAAGAGTTTCCCGTTGTAGTCCCTTGAATTAAGGAGATCCTCTGTTCCCCACGCATGAATAATGGGCTCTGTAATGTTTGCCATGCTCACACCTGGTTGCAGAAACTGGTTAAATACCAGTCTCTCCTGATTTGCCCCAAACGCCTGGGTTCCATGAGCAAATCCTATTTAGCCTTTCTGAATAGATATTTGGAATAAAAGAGGTTCGCCCATCACGTCACCCCCACAGGACCTTATTACAGGACTCTTGGACTTACAATGTGTCCCTGTCAGTACAAGTTACTTCAGATGAATTAGCTAGAGAAAAGCACAAAGCTTAGCAAAAATGTCATTCTAGCTGGATCTCTTAAGCAGAGCAGGTCTGAGCTTAGATTCTGTAATGAAGACAAAACTGCTGCAAAGTCACGCAGGAGCACACTGTGGGCTAGAAAAGACCAGAAACAGGAGCGGTCACCACAATACCAGAGGGCTGGAAATAAGGAGCACGGCAGAAAGAAAAGAGGTGGAGGAAAAGAACAACATGCGTCCGTTGTAGCACACATTGTGATAACCTAGTTCTCACCAATGCGTCCCCTTCCTGTTCTGTATGCACCGTTTCAATAGAGATTGAAATTCCATCTCCAGTAAAGACTTAAGTTTGAGCTCCTTGTAAATCCCCCTCCCTTCCTATCTTTCTAGGTTAAGTTTCTACTTCCTGAGAAAGCTGTAAAAGCCTTAGGTATCAGTTTCCTGTAACCCCCTCCCCTACCCCTCATCCGGCTATCTGTAATAAAATGTGTTGTTCTTTAAGAAATGCTTAACTTCAAGGAAATTACAGGAAGTTCTGTAAGGCCCAGATGCTATCTAACTGGGTCAAAGTTTGCAACATTGCTGTGGTTTTGGGCTTTAAAACCCAACCTTTCTAGCTGTAAGACGCACAGTCTCCAAATTGGCTCCTGGAGATTGTGACGCCAGGCCTGGCCTAAAACAAAGCCTTTGCTCCCCAAATTTTAATTTCTTGCTTTCTTGGGTTTTATTCCGGGGTCTGAGCTATCACACAGATGTGACATCTCTCCTTAAAGAGGACTCTCAGGGCTCCTTACCTTTTCCGGGGTGGTAAAGACTTCCCTTTGTGGGCCCAGCGGCCTTTGGAAAGCACAGTATAGGGGGAAAGGACTAGGGTGGCCTCACTGGTGTGACTTCCACATTTGCTGGAAGAACCAGGAAGCCGGGACTAAATGTTTTGCAGGGCCAGCACCCTTCTTTAGCTTTTCCGGATTGCCTCCTTCCTTCTGAGGTAACAGGCATAACCTGCAGCTGAGTAGCCTGCCAGAGGCCGAGACTCTCAATGCCAGAAGTGGGGCAGGACCCTTCCTCCGGCTGCCCCCTCCCAGCCCCGCAGCTTCAGGGCACTGTATGACCTGATGGAGCGGAAAACAGAGCTCCAAGAAATCACCCAGAGTTCATTCCCGCTTTGGCTGTCTTCCGAGTGCCAGATTTTCGCAGGTTTGTTTGGTTACTAAGCATCTTCATCCGGGTGCCCCATGGGCAACTCTAACCGGGCTTCAGCAGATGGGTGTTCCTGGCTTTCTCCACCACCCTCCCGGAACCTGTGGGCACCCGGGGTCCTTGTGTCCCCACATCTCCGCATCCATCCCTGCGCTCATGTGTGTCCCACAGCTGACCGCTCTGGCCGCGTCTTGCTTGGGTCATTCCTACACTCCCTGCTCCTCCGCCCTCCTCCTCTGCTGCTCCCCAGCACCATGGATGTTCTTGGGAGGGACGTCATCCTGAAGGTGTCACACTCCCTGGGGCATCCGCCCCTTCCACATACTGCTGCTCTGTTCTCCTCTCTTCCCCGAAGCCTGGAGAGCTCCTGACCTCTCCGAAGGTCAGTCCGGCAGCTTCTCCGGTGCTTCCTCAGCCCTGTTCAAGGCGCCCTGCAAGCAGAGGTGTCCGGTCTTCTCACTCGCCACTGCTCCCCCCATCCTGCCTCACTGTGCATTTGTGACGCTCTTTCCTCCTCGTGTTCCCTCAGTAAACGCTTTCTGAGCACCTGTTATGTGCCAGAGACTCCACGGCAGAGAGAGATAAATGGTATAATTTCTATTTACAGTAAATTCTCAGCCTTCTTGGGGGAGAAAGTGGGTAAGAGAATTGCCATTCGATACATCTTTGCTATGACAGATGCCCTCGTCAAGGCAACAGAAATGAGGGACACCAACTCCAAAAGTGGGGAGCCGAGGAGAGCTGCTGGGAGGCGGTGACTTCTCAGCTGAATCAGCAATGGCATCTCCCCAGGGGAAAAGCACTGGCGATCAGGAGTTTATTGTGCAGCTAAGGAGTTCACGCTCTTTTCTGAAGCCAGCAGTAAGGCTCTGAAATCTTGAACCAGGAAGTAACTTGGCTACAGAAGCAAGGGTTTATGTGTCCCCAAGACAGGACCATGTGGAGGACAGTGCAGGGACAGGAGGGAACCAAGGTGTGGTGCTGAGCACAATGGCTCTCCAGGTGACGCGCATGGAGGCTGGGTCTCACCCAGCGGTGCAGCTCTGGGCCTGCTCCCCGCATCTGTGCCTGGATGAAGTGTTTCTAGTTTTGCTCAGTGAGAATCACGAGGGAAGGGGAGACCAGCTCATGCTGCCCCAAATCAAACTGTGACAGTCACTATTACCTGGGACACTTGTATCCTGAGTCTGGTGTTTTAACAAAAAACTGTGCGAGAAAGCAGGTTCCAGGGATCTGGTGCTGTGTCAGAAATGGGGGCTTCTTTTGTGCTCTGGTCCCACTCTTGAGTAGAGCAGGGCTTGGAAAAACTGGTGTTTTCACTCTCTCTGTGTTTATTTTCCCTTGTCTGCACAGGGCTTATGAGGATTAAGGGAGCAAAGGCAGCACGGAAGAGGGGGGCCTGGAAGATGGGGGGAAGGAGGAGGTAGAGGAGCGGAGGGTCAGGGGCTGCGCTCACAGCTCCTGGGTGAACGCTGAGGGACAGGGCTCTGGGAAGTAATGTCACCTTCCATGCAGCTCCTCCCAGAAGGAAAAGAGACCAAGTGATACCAAGGGGACCCAGGGCCCACAGCCCCTCATCGAAGAGCCTTTGGTTCTCCTGAGCCTCCTTCCCATTCCAAGGGGCCAGTCGGGGGAAGCCCGCTGACTTCTGATATCACTGGGAGCAAAGAAAGTTTGGGAGTAGCGTAGACACCACCAAACTCAGGGAACACTTAGCGGGAGGGAGTGGATGGGTGCGGGATGGAATGGTTCCTGCAGACACAGACTCGATCACCGGGGTGTTCAGGGATTCTGGAAAAGGGTAATTCATCCAAGGTCAACTCCAGGGCCAACAACCTCAGTCTCAGCCTAAAATCCAGGCTCCTGTCTCTGCTGTGACAATGTAAGTTATGAAAAGACTTGATGTTCCTTCAGTATCAGCATCATGTGTAAACATTGTCACTCCCTACAGATTTTTGGGCTGTGACTGCTTTCCTCTCGGTGCTGGGGAGAGGTTCTCTGCGGGCCCTTTGACCTCGGCTGGTCTAACTGCAGCTGCTGCGGTGCGGTCAAAGAGCATCGCTTCCGATGACACCTCTGGGAAGGGAACTTGATGAAACCAATGGGAATTCACAGCCCTCCAGGGGGAAGAAAATGACCAGCCTTGACTCCCATGTTCTCCGTCTATATTCTGTGCTGCAGAACTGTCTTCAGCCAAACCTTGTTTCTAAGAGGGATATTTAATGACCCTCCTGTGTTCTTAGAGAATTGTTGGTGTCTCTCATTCCAGCTGGGTTTGGTGGCACATGCCTACAATCCCAGCACTCTGGCAGGCTGAGGCAGGAGGATTGCAAGTTTGAGTTGAGCTTGGGCAACTTAGTGAGACTTAGTGACTTAGTGAGATCCTGCCTCAAAATTAAAAGCTGGGAGGAGAGCTGGAGATGGGGCTCAGGGCCGAGACCCTGGGTTCAGTCTCCAGTCCTGAAAAAACTACATTTCAGTTAGAATTGAGAGAGATGAGAGAGGAGGAAGAAGGGAATGTGACAGAGAAAGAGAGGGAGACAGAGTAGAGATGGACAGAGAGGAAGAAGAGGAGGAGGGGAGGAGGAAGACCAGGGAGGGGAGGGAATAGGAAAAAGAGAGGACAGGAGAGGACAGGAGAGGACAAGAGAGGACAGGAGAGGACAGGAAGACTCAAAACCATTCAGGAAGGTGTGTGTATAGTTTTCTGTGGGTCAAGGAGATATCAATTTTGGGAAAGTGACCAAAGGACTTCAGAGGAAGACATACCTTTATCTGGGGTCACTTGGGGCCCCTAACAAACTTAGAGGAAAGCTGTTTCTCAGGTTGAGGCAGCTGAGATGACTGCTATCCCTCTGCAAGTCTGATAACTCTGCATTCCTGCTCACGCATTCCTGCTCATACATCACAGCAGATTTCCTTTAGCAAAAATATCACCAAATCCTTGAGCATGCTTGAGGCTCTGCATATAAATACATTTTCTCTTTTTGGAAGGCCAAGGTAGG